CACGCACAGACACCCAAGGCAGTCACCAGTAGTCATCATGGCCCTCCAAGATTTTTCCATGTGGTTGGTAGCAGACGAGGAAGAGCCTCTGATGGGAAGACATGAGCTCCATGCAGAAAGCAGGCACAGTCATTCTCACAACAGGACACCGAGGGATCACTGTGTGCTCCCCGGGGAGTAGCCAGTTACATTCCTCTGCCACACTGACTACACGTAACAGCTACAGACAAGCTGATTCCTCAGCAACCTGTCGCTGTTTAAGAAGGCTTTCCCAAGGTAAGTCCACACAGGCCAGTTGGTCCCCAGTTGGGCTGTACTTCACCTGCCACAGACATGCCTATGTCTTATCAATGAGAAGTAAAGTGGCTGACAAGCAGGCAAGTCCAGTGTGAGATTGTTCTCACATGTGTCTTCATTTATCATTCTCTACCTTATTTGAGACAGGGTCTCTCACTGAACCTATCACTGATCAGAGAGCTCCAGGGATCCACCACCCACCTTACCCCAGAGGTTATAGCCATACACTGTTGTATATATTTTGATCACATTCTGACAATAAAGTTTGCTTTGAACCAGAGGGCAGAGCTAGCTACTAGCTGACCAAAATTAACCATAGAGGTTTTGGAGGACTAAGGACAGCTAGAGAGACAGGAAGAGTTAGGGCAGGGCTTAGAGAGGATCTGAGTCCTTTTGGATGGAAGAATGGAAGAGATAGGAGGTCACTGGTTGCTTCGTTGCCACTTCCTGATCATTCAGGTTCTTACCCTGGTATCTGATTCCCGACTTTTTATTGATAAAGAATGATTAGATAAACGTAACAATACACTGCCATACCTGACTTCTTACATGTCTCATGCTTACATAACAGCACTTTACTGATCCATCGCCCCAGCCCCTAATTTTGCTATTTTAATGGACACAAGATGTGCCAACAACTACTTTTCTTCATAAACCCAATATGGTAGTCTCTAGAAAGTTCAAAAAGATAGACATTACCCAGGCCAGCTAAGGGGTTTGAACTTGTGACAGTCTTAAATAAAGGATGTCATCAAATGAAAGACAGCCATGAAAATGTCTGCTCTGAAAGATCCCATACCATTGCATCAAGCCAAGTCGCCTTGCATAGTTTCTCCATTTCACAAGTGGAAGGAGATGGTCCTCTGCAAGGCTGTGGGCCTCTGGCTTGTTTGTCCTTGGCAAGTCTTTTCACCTTCTTTTGGCCTGGGTTTCCACAGCTGCCTCCCAACTACACATGCAGTCACAGCCCAACAGCTGGCTGCTGCAACCCTCTCGAATGTGTGGCTGGCTTCCTCCGACTGAGAACTCACCCAGAGTCCTCACTTCAGCTGTCTGGGTTTCAACAGAGCTCGTCCAAGCCTGAGACCTTCTGATCTCCACTGCCTGAACCATTCTAGCATGTTCTCTGGGCCTCCGTTCCAGCACACTTGCATACCCAGGCCCTAGAGCCCTGGCTCCTGCTGCTTTCTATGTTGGGAAAGATTTACTGAGATTTTCCAGAGACCTGTTCAAAAGCCAAATGTCCTCTATTGGCCATTGTCCTGAACTGGCTTTATCATCCCTCATCTCATTAGTTCTTTTCTCCTCAGTGTTGGCTCACGCCTTTCATATCTATTTATGGTCTGTTTTCCCAAATTTATTTCACGTGTGTGTGCATGCACATGAGTGAGCGTGTGTGTGTGTGTGTGTGTGTGTGTGTGCGCGTGTGCGTGTGTGTGTGTGTGTGTGTGTGTGTGTGTGTGTGTGTGCATGCTTTGTGTACCTGGCATTACTACCACTTATTTATGCTCAGAGTTAGGGGTAGAGATAAGGCAGAAAGGCCACTCGGAACGTGCTGAGGCCCTGAAGAGGAGCTGCAGTCCAAGCCCCAGGCCAGGAGTGAACTTGGGCAGCTGATGTAGAATGACTTGAGGAGGTGAAGAAAAACTAGCCCTAAGAAACAGCAAAATACCAGTGGCCAGCACAAGGGATGGCCAGGAGTCTGGGCAGGCAACCGATGAAACAAGATGTTCAGTGAGAATTAACACCCAAGGGGATATGCATTTAGCTTTTCTCTTAATATCTAATCAGCCAGAGGGGACAACAAAGAGAAACAGAACCAGTTCTGGTAATTGCTAGAATTTTCCAGTTCCCCAAATAAGCAGGATTCTGAGAAGAGTCATCCCTTGTGATCAATTGCCAATTTATGATCCTACCATATTTTTCTCCAGCGTATCTTCCTCATGATGGCGTTTGCATGTTCCTTTTTTTTTTTTTTTTTTTTTTTTTTGAGACAGAGTTTCTCTGTATAACAGGCTGTCCTAGAACTTGTTTTGTAGAGTAGACCAGGCCGGCCTCGAACTCATAGAGATCCACCTGCCTCTGCCTCCCCAGTGCTGGGATTAAAGGCATGCGCCACCACAGCCCTACTGCATGTTCCTTTTATGGTAAACCTACTCAAGCTTGAGTGTGGGCAGCTGTCAGTCTTCTTGTCCGCCTTCTCTTCAGCCTGAAATACGGGCAGGTCCTCCCAGGCAGCTCCAGTGAGGGCTGGCCAGGTGGAGGACTGCCAGGCGGCGGCGTGAGACCATCCCCCTTTACTTGGGCTGATGCACCCGATGTCACTCCTCCAAATGGGGAGAAGTCGAGTCTGCAGGCCCTGTCCTGTCCTGTATTCCTTTTCCTTCCTCTCTCTGTACCAGCTGTGTTAGCCATCTGCGTTCTTCCAGGGTCCGGACGTTTGCTCACCTGGGGTCTTTGTTCAGCCATTTGTTTCTTTGAAAGCTCCCCCTCCCCCCCCCCCCCCCCCGCCCCAGTCCATGTGCTCTGGGATTACTCCTATCCTGCAGTTATGAGCTTCCAGCTATTCCTTCTATGGCCACCCCTCAAACTTCTAAACCCTCCCAACATATGTGCATACCATTAACCCCTCTTCTTTGGGTTTCTTAGAACTTCTTTGCATCATGTGACACACTGCATGCTTTTCTTTGATTTATTATGCCCTCCTCTTTTCCTACTAAAGAGTATCTTCTTTTTTTTGTCCCCCCACCCCAACCCCACGCCAGGATTCTGTGATGCATCCCAGGCTAGCCTCAAATTCACAGTCTTCTTGCCTCGGCCCCCCTAATACTTTGGCAGATAAAGTCCTTTGCCTGCCTGTTCCCTGGGATCTGAAAAAGAGCCTGGAACACTGAGTAGTGGGTCCCCAGTCAGTATGTATGTCACGAATACACGAGGGCTCAGCAGCTTCAAAAAGAAGGGATCCTGGGGTGTGTCATTAGCCTCTGCAGGACAAGGGCGGTGGCAGCAGGTTCATGTTTTTCTCTGGCCATCCAGACACTAGAAAGTTCTTTTTTATTATCTTTCTAGAGAGAGGGAAAGGAGAGAGAGAGAGAGAGAGAGAGAGAGAGAGAGAGAGAGAGAGAGA